GAGAAGAGAGGCAGGTAAATTTCTTTTAAGAAAGCAACACTGACTAAGATTACTAAATTACTCTTAATGTGCATTAAGGTTTACTTTTAAATTAAATGAAAGGTTAAGATTTTACTCTTTCAAAAAACATACCATGTATCCAAACTCTATGGATGAAATCTTCGCTTGTATAATGGACCACAGGCCCCAGAAGAAGTGTGATGCCAGGGCAAACCTGCAAATTACAAAACAAAATGCTTGCTGAAAGACTTCTAGTGTCCCACATTAACTGCATTATCTAGCCCACCTACAGTCAAAATCAACAGTGCCAATTTTATTATTATAACTTGCTATCTTTTAGAGGAGCTCATATATATTATATCTGAGCATCCCAGAATAGAGTTCCTTCTTGGTCCAAGCAGTCATGATATGACATCAGTATCCCACTCACTAACCCCCCCCAAGAAGCTTGGAAAAGTGTACCTTTATCTTAAGGTAGTTTTTCATAGCACAGGTTAGTTATTTGTACAATGCCATTAGCAACTTCTACAGCCTATTTGCATTGAGCCATAACAGTTTTGACATGAAACAAGGACTCATTTACAACCATTAGGGGGTTTGTTCTCATTTACCCTAGAAAAGCTATTTAAGGCAAATCCTAACTAGAAATTTCTCAGTGATGAAAGAATGTGAATCCTATAAAGACATCAAAATGCAAGTGTTAAGCAGGTGGACTGTACACAGAATGCCAACACTGCACTATCACTACAGTAAATATAAATAGTTACCTATTGACTTCCATCAACATATCTTCTTCCGTTTTGGACTTGTCTTCATTACTTAGATTTTCAAATCCATTTTGGAATGCAGTCAGGTAACTGGAGATAAAATGAAGCTAAAGACAATAGTGATCATGAGAACACATCAGACAAGTCTTAGACACAAGAATGGTTAATATCAGCATGCTAAATCTTTATAAAGACCCTAAGAAGTTTAGCTTTTTCCAAGGTTGAAAATTTGAGTATTGACCATTCTGGTTCATTTCAAAACCGGAGCACCAAAAGTATGCCACTGAGTAACAGATTAGAAATTCAGTATATAAAGACTGTATCCCATTAGTTTTACAGATACCATTTTGCTTCTGGTCTTAACCCAGTTACTGAAACCAGTGGAACATCAGGACTACCTTTGTATGTACATGCGGGACCATAGTAAGTGTTCTGAAAAGCTGAAAAAGCTATTGGCAGCAATGGAAGTTGATCAGGGCTTTTTATTTTTTAAAGCATTGTACACTAACATCACACTAAGTTTATGAAAGAATGACTACTACATCCAGTGACACAGTGAAAGGAATTTTGGTGGACAGGATGTATAGTAACAATCAAACTGGTAATTAGGAAGGACAGATCAGATTTGAATTTGCGGGCACTGACATTTGAGTGTAACTCTACTTTCATGTACCTACCTGTTGCATCCTTGTGGGATACTTCAAAAAACTGGCTTTGAAGAATGGGTATTTTTCATAAGTGTAGTCATACATCCATTCACAGAAGTGATTTGCAATGTCAAATCCTCTGAAAATTAACAGTTCAATAGTTAGGGCAGATTTCAAGTTTCCAGAAGATTTACATATTTGCTCTTGTTTAAATCAATACAGTCCTGAAATTTTAATCTTATAAAGCATGATGAGAACATTGGCATGAAGTACTTTAAGTTCTACAAATAGGAGATCAGAATTGTCAGTAAAAACAAGTTTATTGATGAAAACACAAAAAGCAAATAGCACACTATGCATCAACTAGCCTTTTGTCTTAAAGCTTGCAGTAAAACCAATGTCCTTATTGTCCATGCAGGAGAACTTGCTACTGCTGTTCGTGTGGAGTACATTAGCAATACTAGAATCTGTGACCTTAACTCAAAAACCAAGGGTCCAATAGATTGAAGAATTGAGAACTATCTGCCAACATTTTTTATGGAATGCAGGAGGTAATTTAGATCACAAGTCATTTATTAATACTGTAAAAACCCACTTCTATAGAAGTGGCTAATACTCCACTGGCATTTTGAGTTCAATTAAGTTTGTTGTGATAAGGTTTAATGGAGTAGTACACTTTTGCCAAGTTGAAAAGTATGCTCTATGGTATTACTAAGACTAAATCTGAAAGATGCTGAATGAAGAGGGCATTTTTGAATAGTCCTGTAACATCCCAATAGATAATCCTTGCACATATGTCAGGAGGAAAGGATTAGACAAAAGGATTGAGAGAAAGGAAAGCAATGTGGGGAGTTACAGTTGCATCAAGTAGCAAGAGCCCTTATGTTTACAGAAATTGCTAAATTAGTTAATTCCACAGATTTTCATGTACAGGAAGTGGAAGCTTGTGCTGCACTTGGATACATTAAGAAAAATGGTTGAGTTACTGGTGTTCTGAAATACAGTAGGTGGCTGTAGGTGAGAAAGTTCTTTGAAGTTGCCTCAGAACAGAGTAACAAAATGGTTCATCTTCCTATGATGGAACAAGGTTGCTGCAAGAACTGATTTCAGAAGAAAGCAGCAAACTACAATGCTAGGAAAAGGTTTTGGTAAAAATAGCCAGGACAGTGGAAGTAATGATTAAGATAAAAGATGGCTTGTGTTCACAAGTCATCTCTTTCGCAGAATTTAAGGTATGCAGTAAAGATTTCAGACACATTACTTAGATGTTACACTAATGACCACATCTTTCTGATTAATAGAGAGATCTCTTGCATTTTCTAAAGAGATTTTATTCACTTTTCTGCTCCATTTATGGAAAACACACCCAATCATGTCTAGGAGGCAAGCTATCACAAGCCAAATATTATGTGAACTGAACTGCAGCAGTCTGGCTTTTCAGACTTCTGCAGATGAATTTGATTTCAGATACACTGATTTAGGCACCTGCGAGCCTGCCAATTTGGCCTGTGCTCAGAGCTTTTGGCACTTGCAGTTTTGGTGAATCAAAGGCAGGCCACAGAATGTAATGCAGAGAAATACAACTCATTGGAAGAGATTAGATTTAGAAAAGTCTTATTAGCATTTCCTTTTACTGTAGTTTATTTAAAGACGTGCCAACCATGCCACACAGGAAAATCTTGCTATGTTTGGAACAATTTACCTGTAATTATAGCTGCTGTATTCAAAGTCAATAAGCATTAGCTTTTGTTTTTCAGAATCCTCTCTGCCTTCCAAGAGCAAGACGTTACCTGAAGAGTTTTGAGAAAACACAAAGATGTAGTGAGCAGAAGCACTGGATTTGTTTGGATAAAAATTCAAACAATACTTCTATTATAAAAAAAGTTTTCAAAAAGCTTTGGTCAAGGATCCTGGTGTTCCTTTTGACAAAACAGGAAAGGAACACGTGAAGGCATTGGGATACCTATATTTAATTTGTAACAAGCTTGTCAAACCCCTACCCTTCCCCCAACTCAACCCATCATCATAATCCAAGGTGTCAGAGTTCACAGGATTGAGTAGATATATAGCCCAAAACAGCATTAGTAGAAATCAAGCAAGAAATAATCAAAGGCTGCTCTTAGCACTACAGTATTAACCTAGTTGCCAAAGTAGTGCCATCCTACCTTCTTGGCAGTCATTGTGGCAAAAGACAACTGGTGATGAAGTAGCTTCAAGCATAGATCTGAAAAACCAAGAGCAAAGGGCCAATAAAGAGCTAATTATGACAAAAAAGTTTCCAGACCCAGCTAAATGTCAAACTTGTTTTTTGTTGCATGAACTCCAGGTTTCACAGCATTCCTGACAAAAAACTACATTTTAATGCTGTGTGTAGGCTGAGAATTTAAGTGCACAGAAATCAGGATACTCAGAGGTAGGGCTCTACTACAACCAATTCAGCACACTATTACTGGATGCACCACTATCTGTTTGTAAGCATTACAAACAAGGGTCAGTTGTGGAGGCTGTGGGAACCATATCAGTTTGACCTGTAAATGTCAGTGGTAATTCATAAGTTAATGTAAAATAGTGGCAAAGAAGCTAAAATCTTACCTTAGGCTTTTCATTTCCTGGGGAAGATTGTAACTGAGGATTTTGTTCAATTTTCTAATCCGGGATTCTCTGGTAAATTTAATCCTCAATACTTGGTTTAGATACCTACCCAAAAAATAAAGTTAATTGTAAAACAGTGTACCAAGTTTGAGTACAATTAATATTCCAAGGCTAGAATGCCAATTCTACTATAGTTGAGACCTTTAGGTTTTTCCTTTAGTTTATATATATATAATATAATTTTAAGATTATATATATATATATATATATTTTTTTTTTCAAAATCAAGATGCACCAAATTGAAACTTCTGGAAAAAAGTTAAATCTTCTTGACACCCCCAGGTAAAGCTGTGTAGAGACAGCAAGCCTCCATCCTTACAAAATACCTGCCAGTTTACAGAAGAGACCCTCTAGAACAGCAAGACTTCTACCCATTAAGATTGTCATTGGCTGCTGTCTCCCCCCCGTTTTATAAAATTTACAATAAAAGGTGAGAAGACTTACTTTTCCATTGTCCCAAAAAGCCATTTAGGTTCTTTATTAAATGGCATTTTCATACCATGAAACCTGGCCATTTTCTCAGCTATTTCTGCAGATATATCTGGTAAGCCTAGTTCTTCAGTGTCTAACTTTCTGCTCTGTAACAAAATAAAGCACACTTGAAAGAGCTGATAAGGACAGAGAAACATGAATATCATCACTCAATAGCTTTGAAGTAACAATCAAAGTTTAAATGGTTTCATGAAGGTTCAGCACAATTATGTTTGGGAAGAAGTTTAAGTTAGCTGGACCATCTATTAAGTATTCATTCGGTAGCCTCTGATCTTCTGTCCTATAAGGTCAATGGGTCAAGTCCCACCTGAAGTCTTATAACCTTGGACAAGAGTCCCGGGGATACATTAAGGGGGTCATTGAAGAGAACGAAAACAAGTCTGTGTGCCATTCTTTTGATTCTTAACGGAATGGCTGCTCTCAAGCTCGTTTCACTCCATATTTATTATGGCCCAACATAAAACTACAGCTGGAAAAGAAATTTTTAGAGAGAGACATCTTCCCTCCCCACAGAGAGATTATAATTAGAGTCAGGAAGTCTAGTTATAGCAACAAATTAAGGCTAACAATTACAAGTACCAAATATTTCATTCCCACGTCTCTGCTTTTGTATACAGTCTAAAGACACACTGGTCATGTTCAATTACAACATCTTACGGCTACTAGCCTGTTGACTAATCATGAATGTGACTCACTGGAATGAATTCCTCTAATCGGCCTTGTGGAAAGATTCCATACAGCTTCGGGCCAAGATTTCTCTCTGCAAGAATGGCAAACATAACACTCTCCAGTACCATGGCTTCTGCACCCTGCATAAAATTAAGGTAACAGAAGTTTACACACGAGTTAAGTTTATTATGTTTAAGAGCAAAGCTCCCAAAGTGAAAGTTTGTTTAGGATTAGTTTTTAAATAAATTCTGAGACTAGCGGATATAGGTTTTTTTTTAAAGTGACTAAAGAAAAAAGGTTGTTCAATACAAGAAGTTTTAATATGAAAGCCATGCAGCATTACAGCTTCAGGAGGAAATTTTAGTGAGTGAAATTATGAGAGGCCCATTGGTGCCTATTGGCAAAGTGTTCACTGTTCTTTACAAGCAACTCCTGTCAAACTTGAACTCACCACACCCTGAATACCACTTTCATGGGTATTTATCCATTAAGGATAGCATGAGGTCTCTACTGAAAGCTTATGACTTATCAATGGTCAATCATTGCACAATGTGTACATGGTTAATATTTAAGGAACAATGTAATTATATTGAGAATAAGACTCACTCATGTGTATTGTAATGTTTCTTCGAGATGTGGGTGCAGATGTATATTTCACTCAGGTATGAGTACACCCAGTGCACCAAAGCGAAGCCAGAGAACTTTGTCTAGCAGTACTTGTAGGGAGCAGTGAACATACCCTTGTTAAAGCCCCTCCCATGGCTATATAAGGGCAGCACTACCCCGACCTCCCTCAGCTTCTTTGCATGAAAGTCCCAGGCTGGAGATTCCAGTACAGAGGGCAAGGAGAACAGGTCATGGAATACATATCTGCAATATCTCAAAGAACAGTTACAATACAGGTAACAGTCTTCTTTGGGTGTTTGCAGATGTGTATTCCACTCAGGTGACTCACATGCAGTACTCATAGGAGGTGGGGCTTGGAATTTATTTAAATAGAGACTGCAAAACTGCCTTCCCAAAGTTTGCATCAGGCCTTAATGCCGTGGTTATAGCATAATGTCTAACAAAGGTATGCATGGAAGACCATGTTGTAGTCCTGCAAATTTTCACTGTAGAGACACTGCTAAAAAACACAATGGATGAGCGCTCAAGTAACATCCAATGAGCCCACAATGACTGTGGGAGTGTCATATGAGCCACTCCATAGCCTGTGGTAACACAAGCAGTTATCTACTTGGAAACTCAGACTACTGAACAGAAGAAAGGCTGACCAGTCTCCAAGTGATATGAAGAGCCAAGGTGATGAACAAAATTTTGTCCTCTCAATAGAAGGCTAAGCACCACCTCCCATCTAAGATATGGAGACTTTTCTCCTCTGTCCTTGAATGTGGTTTGGTTAAGTAAATTGTCAATTAAGTAAACTTGAGGTGAAACATCACTAGGGGGAGAAGAAGGGGAGAACTTAGGGTGTGGCCCTAAAGCCACCATGTCCTTGCACTGATCACATGGAGGATCTGCCATCAAGACTAGCAATTCTTGCAGATGTTATAGCTACCAGGAAGGCAATCTTCTGGGAGAGAAGAGCCTATGATTGTGTTGCTATCTGCTCAAATGGCAGGCTCAGTGCTGCCAGCACCGTATTAAGGTCCCACAACAGCACCATTTCTTTCATTGGTGGAAAAAGGTGGACAATACCCTTCAGAAACCTCACTATTATAGGGCTTAAGAATATCAACTTTCCTTGGATGGGAGAATGAACATAACATAAGAAAGGCCGTACGGGGTCAGACCAAAGGTCCATCTAGCCCAGTATCCTGTCTACCGACAGTGGCCAAT